CCTGGAGCCAAGGTAGTGGGCTTTAGCTAATACTTATGAAGCACCCTGGGGAACTTGGAATGAGGGTGAAGAGTCCCCTGACTTCTTCCCAGCTCGGAACACTTGCCTATGACCAAGAACACACTACGCTAAAAAAAAAAAAAAAAAAAAAAAAAAAAAAAAAGGAAACCAGCCATGATGTAGGGGGACAGGAGGGAGGAAGGGAAGGGGACATTTGAGGTAGGTTTTAAAGGGCGAATAGGAGTTTACCTGTTGGGGAAATTGGAGGGAAAGATATTGCAGAGAGAGAAGCTTCCAACATTTTCCTGCAGGAAGCTACTTATCCTGCAGAATAGGTAGGTTTTCACACCTAGACTAGGGAGCAGATGAGGCAGTCTTCATGGCTGTCCGAACACTACTTCCTGCCCTATGAAATCAGCTCAGTGGGAGTCCAGGAACTGACCAGCCTGCACTCTTGAAGGAATTCCAGAAGGGCTGGGAGGAAGCTGGACATGGTGTGAGAACAGGGGAAGAAAAAAGCCTTGTCTTATGGGCAACGGAACAAGCACATTTGAGAACCAGAGCGTGCACTAGCTAGGCTGGAGCAACTGCTGAAGTTTCCTTGTTTTATAGATTTATTTATGCATAGAAGAACTGGGATGTAGATTGGGGGAGCACTGCCAGGGAGAAGTGTTGTAGGCATGAGAGGACTCACTGGAGACAGAACACAGATTGACTGAAATACACTGCTGAGGGGAGCAGGAGGAGAAACAGGAGCAGTCTGCTGTGCCATGTGTGGGTCCGCTCTCTGGCCCTGGATTTAACTCATGCTTAAATCAGTGGCTGTGGATAGCTTCATTGTGCTGTGCTTTAACCCCTTGTCCACCAGAGAGGGCCCTCCTGTGCTATTTTTAACCTCTGTTTTACATACTATGAAGACTCAGAAATTGAGAAACTTGCCTAGGGAAATACAGTAGAAAGAAGAGTAGGTAGTGGAAACTTCCTGTGAAAAGAGCTAGGGCCACAAGAGATGCTGTGGTCAGGGCTGCAGGAAGGGGTAGCTCAGTTGGCGGTCACTCTGCTCAGGGTGTGGGGTTCCTGCTGTCTCTTAAACCTTTATGCCCCTCTAGCTCCCCAATATGCTTGCACTTGGGCCTCATCCCCCTGGGTCATCTAGAAAAGGGGAAGGTGGCTGGCCCATAGTCCCAAGAAAGAGCGAGACAGAAGAAAACTAAAGATGGCTCTGAATTTGCCCTGGGGGGTTGCACCCCTGTCTTTTGGGAATCCAAGGTCTCAGTTCAACTTTCTGTACCTCCCAGCCTAGGCACCTAGTCAGGACCTATCAGCAATCAGCCCTTTTGACCTGGCACCTGCCTGTCCTCAGAAAGTGCATGGGAAGGCTAAGAATATAGTTAGGGCCTGAGCAATCTGGCCAGCTGCTAGACCTGCCTCTGCAGGCTCAGCGTCTCTCTCTATAAAATGTTGGGAGGGTAGTTGAAAGTCAGATTTTAAAAAGCTACAATGACAACTGTTACTGTTTCCCTTTATCCCTAGCACATAGCCCCAGGACCGCCCATAACCACCTTCAGCCACGCTATGCATGCCAGAGACCATCCTGGCCGACTGTCCCCAGCACTGCCTCTTGCCTCTTCAACCCTGATGCTGCTGCTGAGTAGCCTGTGGCTGGTGGGGGCAGGCCCCAGCCTTGCCCTAACCCCGGAGCTGCTGCTGGACCCCTGGCAAGGTGAGGGCTGACCCCATGGGCCTTGGAAGAAGCAGACTTGCTGTAGTTGGTAGGAGTGGCCACTGCACAACAGTTAGGAATAGGGCCCAGGGTGCCCTAGGGAAGTTTGGCCTTAAAAAAGTGCATGGCTGACTCATCCACAGCCAAGAAGGGAGGGGAAAGGACCCGATTATAGGGGTCAGAGAAGTGGTCTGTGAGTACATGGCTTCCCTGTCTGGTGGCTTTTCCTTAAAATAGGCTTTCAGCGAAGCACATGAATAGGGAGGAGGTTTGAATACCTGTTTTCCAGTAATAACAGCAGCTCTCAGTTAAGTTGAGGAATCATTTGAGGCTCAGAGAGGTTAAGTGCCTCATCCAAGGCCATACAGCTTTGGGGGAAAAGGTGGGGGACTGTGTAGCCCTAATATTGAAGCAGGCAATCTTATCAGAACCTGTGTTCTCAGCAAGGTATAAAGGAGTCAGTGAGTATGCAAAGCACCTTCATAGGACACAGTGATTGCTAAGTAGTTGGTTACTCTTGAGCAGAATGGTGGATCCAGCTCATTCTGTTTCAGAGAGCAGAAGAGTAGCCTCTGTATTTTAGAAGCTCTGGGTCCTTTCCACTAGTGCTGCCAGTGATTCGAGTCTGGCTTCTGGGAGGGAATGCTGGCTTAGTAGGTCTTCCTGGCAGAGGGGATTACCCAACCCGGCATATCTAGAGGCCTTGGAGGTTAGGGCCACTAACCTGGCACATAAACCCCTTCTTTTTCCTAGTGCACCGGCTCCTGACCCATGCGCTGGGTCACACGGCTCTGCCAGGCCTGCTCCTGAGCCTGCTGCTCCTGCCCACACTGGGCTGGCGGCAGGAGTGTCACCTGGGTACGCTGAGGTTCCTGCATGCCTCTGCCCTGCTCGCCTTAGCCACTGGGCTGATGGCTCTGCTGCTGGCAGGCATTGGGGCATCCACCGCAGCTGGTGGCTGTGGATACATGCCTGTCCACCTGGCCATGTTGGCAGGGCAAAGTAACCACCCTAGGCAGCCCCATGGGGTGCTGCCACCTAGGCTGCAGCCGTGGCTGCTGCTTGCCCTGACACCACTGCTCAGCTCTGAGCCGCCCTTCCTGCAGCTCTTCTGTGGCCTCCTTGCTGGCTTGGCCTGTATCCTTTGCCTGGGCCCAAGGCCCATGTGGATGGGGTATATGACTGAGTCCAGGGTGCCTAGGGAAGAAGTGGATCAGGGGATCAGGCCTAACAGTGCTGGGAAGCTGTGCATTCACCTTCCAGAAGCAGCTTGACTCTGGGCTGGAAACGGGACGTGGGTTGATGGAGGTGCCACATACAAATTAAAGGGGAGCCAGGGAGGACACAGGTGGCCCAAGGAGGCACCTAACCTAGATGTCCCCAATGGAGGTTGTGTCTAAACTGAGATATGTAGAATGAGGGGTTCAGGCAAAGAGAAGTAAAAAGGAGAGTGGGCCACACAGGGTACAAGGGCCAGGGGTGAGAGTGAGCTTGGGGGTCCTCGAGCACGAAAAGGGGTACTTGGGGCTGGTGACACTGGCTCTTGCTCCAGGATGTTTGGTGTTTGTTGAAGAAAATAGTGTGGTTGGAGAGAACAGTGGGCACAAGCTGACTCCCAGGACTTACACAGGCCTGGGGACACAGCTGCCCAGGGAGCACAGCACTAGGGAGGGGTGTCAGTGCACCCAGGAGTTCCAAAGTCACAGAACCTGAGCAGTTCACAGGGCTCTGGGAAGAGTGGGGCAGGGGATGTAACAGGATAAGACAGGTTTGGGGGTGAGGCACATCCAGTTCCAGCCTTTACTGTCTGAGTAACTTCAGACACAGGTCCCTTTTCCTCTGAGCCTCTGCTGCCGCAGATTAGGGCAATGACACTTCTCTTGCAGGACCAGAGTGAGAAGCCACGAGGTAAGGCCCATCTCGGCTTGGCACCGGGCCAGCCATACAGTGTGGGTTAACCCTGGCTGGTTTCGGTTTTCCTTGACCAGCCGCCCTGTCCTGGGCAGACAGATGCAGCTGGGGCCTTCTGGTGGCTGGAGCCCTCAGAGCAGCGGCTGCAGGTGCTACAGGCAGGCGTCGTATGCAGGACCCTGACCAGATGGTGGCCACTCAGGTTCCTTCCCGCCCCAGGAAGCCTGGCTGAGCTGCCTGTCACCCATCCTGCCACGCAGAGGTGAGGGCAATGCCAAGCACACTGGCCTGGGTGGTGGAAGCTGGACAATGACCGGCAGTCACATCTTCTGCTTATGCCCCTCTAGGCCTCCTACCCCTGGACCTCCTAACATGGCCTCCCCTAGCCTCTGGTCCCAAGTTGGAGGCTCAGCCCCACTCCCACCAGGTCTGGAACCTGTGCAGCACACCTGGGAGGGCTCTTCAGAATTAGGCCTCGCCTGGGCTGGCTCCAGCTTCCCCCCAGGATCCCCTCTGTGGGCGGCCCTGGATGAACAGATGCTACAAGAAGGGATCCAAGCCTCACTCCTTGAGGGGCCTGCCCAGGGACTGGAAAGCCCTCTGTGGCTGCCTAAGTCTTCTGTTTCCTCTCTGCGGTAAGGTGGGGTGGACAGAAGTGGGGTACCCTGGGGGGAGGGCTGGAGATAACCATCATACTTCTTCCCTGTGTCATCCCACAGGCTGCAGCAGCTGGAGCGCATGGGCTTCCCCACAGAGCAGGCGGTGGTGGCACTGGCAGCCACAGGTCGCGTGGAAGGCGCTGTGACATTACTTGTTGGGGAGCAGGTGGGCGTCGAGACTTTGGTGACTGATGGGAAGGGTGGGTCTGCCCATCCCGAGGGTCCTGAGCCCCCTTAGCAATGGCAGATCTTTAGGTGACCTGCAGGTGTGTAGCCAGGCCCCTGCCCTGTCTACTGAGAGGCCCCATGGGGTACAGGGGCACCCTAGGGAGCAGGAGAGGATCCTTCAGCATCCCACTCTGGTACTATTAATAAAAAACAATTCACTTTTCGACCTGGACTTCTTTGGGGCAGCAGTTGTCTCTGACTCTTCTGTGTTGGCATCAGAGGGATGAAGGTGCAGTGAACAGTGAACCGACTGCAGGAGAGCAGCCTCCTGGTGTCCAGAGACTTGGTGTCACTCGCTGCACCTACCTACGGAAAGCGGAGCCCTCCCCTGCAGAATTGGCTGGGCTGGACCCTCCGCCAGGGGTCCTTCATTGCTGTTTCTCAGCACTGCTGGGCCCCTGGGCAGGAAGCAATGGTTCGGAGTGCAGAGTGGGAGAGGCTTCCTTAGCTTTGAAACAGCAGGTCCTCCTTCCTGGCCTCCGTCTCTGTTCCTGCCCCTGTCCTTCGAGGGAAGGTAGACTGAGCCAGGAGGGCAAAGGCGTGGGGGTGGGGAGGACAGCTCGGGGTGCTGGACTCTGAGGAGTGGAGCGGGGAGCTCCATGTCCCGGAGCAGTCTACATTCTGGACATCTGTGGGGCTGTATTCCAGCCGGGGACCATAAACACACCAGAAAACCTGAGAGTCACACCATTGTGTGCTTTTATAGGCGAGAGGGATGTCATCCCAATTTCTGGCAGCTCCTTGCTCCCCGCCAACTTTGAGGAAGGGGACTCAGAAGCTGCCATGGGTGGAAACCCAACAAGGAGGGGTCTAGCTCTGTTCTCACCCACACCCCAGCTGCTCTGGAGCCCTGGCTCCCTCCGTGCTGTGCAGGCCAGCCAATTGTACGGCTTTGTAGGTGGGCACTGAAGGCCACTGGGAAGGAAAGGGCTCCTAGCCCTGCCCACTTAAGCATACGCTGAGACCAGGCTGGGTGGGAAACAGGCCGGGGCCTTTATTGGCCAGTACATGTTTATCTCCTTGTCTGTCACACACGTGTGGCAGCAGGTGGCTCCTCCCCTCCCACTCAGGACATGGGAAGGGCTAGGGGCTAGGTGTACAACTGAGGCAAGGAGGCTTTGCAGGTCAGTTCAGATGGGGTCCCCTTCTTGTCGGGGACCCAGCACCAGAAAACGAAAAGAAAGGTGCAGGTAGGCTCCCAAGTTTGTCTGGGGGAAGGGCGAGGTCATTCTCCCTGCATGTGCTGAAGGTGGTGGCGCAGAGTCCCTCAGTGCTTGAGGACCAGGTTGCCACCTACCACCCTCTCCCTACAGGCCTGCATCACTGCATTCCACAGAGGAAAACAGGCCCAGAGCCCTAAGCCAGGCCTTGGGCCACTCCCTCTCATGCTTCAGCCCATGATCACCCTCATATGAGGCAGGTGCAGATGTGTCCAGGATGTCAGAACCAACCTGTTTACCCCACAGGCCTCAATGGCAGAAGGGACCCTGAGGAGATTAATAAATATAGATGGGCGGTCCTGGGAGGCAGCTGGCCAAATTCAGGCTGGAAATGGAAGCTTGGCCTGGCCCACCCTGAGGGGCCACCACCGCTCTCAGCCTCTCTCATGGTGGCTCTTGGAGGCCACGATCCGGTAGTTGGCTGTGTGTCTTCCCCTCTTGCCCCGCAGGAAGCTGGGAGTGTCTGTGCTGGCAGGGCCTGTCCCAGACCCTTCTGGTTCTGCCAGAAGGAAGGAGAGAGACTGGGTTAGTGAGGTCTCTGTGTGGTGGCCACCTCCCCTTGGCCCTCTAGGGAGTGGGGGTCTGCCCTGGAGTCCTGGTGGCAGAGCTGTGAGAAAGAAGCGGGTGTCTGCAAGCTGGTTAGTACTCCCTTCCATAGGTTATCAGCCCCCAACCCAATGAGAGCACTCAGTGCCTCTATATGATTTTCTGCCAAGTGGGGATAAATGAACCCATCATGTTTCTGAAGTTTGTAAAATGTAGAGAATGTTCCACAAAAGTAGTTTGTGTTTTTTTTCTTTCTTTCTTTCTTTCCCACATTTTGGGATGGAGGTGTGTCCTGAAACATTCCCATTTTATAGGCAGAAAAAAAACTAAGGCGAGGGAGAGAGGTATTTTTCTTCTGCTCTCCTTGGCTTAGGCCATCTGTGGTACGGAAGGGTTTAGAAGTCAGGCTCTGCTACTGACCTGTGTAGCTTTGGACAATCTGGAATTCTGTGAGGACCTCAATTGTCTCATCTCTAAAACCAGGGGCACAGTCCTTAGACATACTCTGAGGTCCTGGCCAAGTCCAGTAATTACTGAAGCTAGTTCCAGTTAAGTTATGGTAAGATATGCCCCTGAAAATAAGTGGACCTACGATGGTGAAACTCAATAAATGGCATTCTTGTATCTGGAAAACTCCTATGCGTCCTTCAAAACTGAATTAAAACTTCCAAGAAGCTATGTATGACTATTACTCCAGTCCTTCTCAAAGTTAAAACAGCAGGTCAGAAGGGTGGGTTTTCTAGAGGAAGAAGAATGTTCAGGGAAGTGACCACAGACTGGATGTCTTGGCTGAGCCTCCAAAACCACATTGACAGGATGGATGTACAGACTCCAGTAAAGTGCCAGCTTCCCCTGAGGGCACAGCCAGGGGAATAGGCTGGATCTCATTTTCATAGCTGTCCAGTGCCCTGACCCTATGTGCCATAGTCCCCTATGCACCTCTGGGCTGTGAACTGGGACCCTAGGACAGCTCAGACATGTGTGGTCAATCAAGGGACATTTCTTTGCCCTAAATCAGGAAGTAGGGGCATAGGAGGCATAGAGCAGAAGCTCCAACATCACTGAGGGCCACGTGCGGGCCCCCCCATATCCCAGTCACAAGGCCTCAGGCAAGTCAGAACCGCTGAGTCTCATCTGGAACATGAAGATAATACTGTGTCACACCCTTGCAGTAAGTTTTTAAGATGACCAGTAGTGGAGAGTGGTTTTGGAGAAACTGCTTGATGATTATTATGGTCTCTGAATTGATGTGCTTTCAACCTAGTAGGGCTGTCCCTTGTAAGTCAGTCATGGGGTACTGTTCAGACATGATCAGATTTGGGGCCTGGATTTCTCTGGGCACTTTAATGCCTGGCTGAGTAGGTGTGTCGGCGAACCTTTGTTTATAGAGCTGAAAGAGCTATCACTTTAAAGATGGCAGATCTAAATTTAGGGTGGATCCCTGGCCTTACTGCTGCTATACCTCTGGCCCTGAGGGAACCATGCATGAGCCCTCTGAACCTATCTTCCTCCTTAAAAATAAGGTCCTGGCATCGCCCACCCAACAAGCTTGTGTAAGGACTGGGGATAATCAATGTAAATCCCCCAGCCCAGATGGGCCAGATGTGTGACGGCTTGACAACTATTAATATTATCATCATTATCGACTGACCAATGAGCCCCAGCTGGGTCTTTAGCTTGTACTTGCTGTGTATGTTGGGCCAGTGGGGAAGATTCTATTTCCTTTTTTGCTACCCTCCTCTCCCCCCAAAGATCTATAATCCCTGCAGGCTTGCGGGGCTTTCCCAGGTGACTGGCACTTCCTCTTTGGGGGGCCGGAAGCAGACCCCGCTGAAGGCAGGTGGGGCACAGATCCAAGGCCAGGGATGTGTCCCTTCTGGCTTCTGCCCCTATCCTCTTGAGAGAGGTGGGACGACTGAAAAGGTGTGCCGAGAGCCTTGGCCCTTCCTTATGAGAGGAGAGGCAGTCAGGGTGCTGGTCACTGGTGTTTCTGTACGTTAGACAAGCCACGTGGCATGGCGGGAGGAATTTAGGAAGTGAACGACACACGTGCCTTCCAGCCTCCGGGCCTTTACCCATGCAGGACTCTCAGGGTTTCCCTTCCCACTCGCTCCTGACGCAGAAGGGCTCTTCCATGATCCTCGCAGTGTCCCGTCACCTAGGATGCCTTCTGCACCCCGGAGAGGGAAGTGACTGCTCCTCACCTACATTCCTTGGTGCTCTGGTATGAATACTGAATATGCCACTCGTTGGGCAGCTCCTCAGACTAGTGTCTCTTGGGATCTCCCCCAGGACCTGCCCAGACCTGCCGCTAGGTCTGCACTACAGCTTTGCCGAGGGGAGGCAGCTTGGTTCCAGCCTGGGCCCAAATCCCTGTGTGGGGCCTCAGTTTCCCCTCAGTAAAACAGACATGAAGCTGGAAGTGCTGCCCAAGGTCTGTGTGCATGGATGCACTAGGACTGGGCTGGTGGGGGAGGGGGTGCAGCTGTGGTGGGGAAAGTGTGGCCTCCTACTGGGCAGGGGAGGACAAGGGGCCAGCCCTAGGGCAGCCAACCCCTCCTTTCCCAGGGCCAGCCACAGGCTCCAGTTTAATGGGGGAGACCTTCGTCTGCCTTTGAGGACATTCTCCCAGTGGGCCTAGATGCTCTAGTCCCCGCTCTTATTCCTCAGCAACCTCATGCACTCTCTTGGGTTCTCTTTGACCTCTGCCCAGACTGTTCCTCTGCCTCTTCACTGACCCTAACCCTAACTTTGCAGGTGTCTACTTAGAGAACATTTCCCCCAGGAAGCTTTCCCTGAGATGCCCTCCTGTCTCCCCCAACCTGGGTCAGGTGCACGTCTCTGCTCCCAGGGCTGCCTGTCTCACTTAGGGCTTAAAGGCCAGATCTAGGGCTTCCCATAAGCCCCCATATTCTAAATTTCATGAGACTAGGACTATGTCTGCTTTATCTATTGGAGGTTATATAGCCAGCAAGGTGCCTGGCACAGAAAGGAGCACATGCATTCAAGAACTGGTTATCAGAGCCTTCTCTGTGCCAGGCACCATCTACTGGCAAACAGAAAGACTGAGAAGGAGGGGTCCCTGGCCTGGGACCAGCATTGGGAGGCACCTTCTGTACCCCCAGGCCCTTCCCAGGCCCTTTCTGAAAGGGGCTGCCCCTGCCTGCCCACCCTGCCATTACCTGGCCAGATGATGGCTTCCAGCAGGGTGACCCGTCTGGCCAGGAGCTCCAGCTGAGCCTGCTGCTGCAGAAAGCTCTGTAAGCTAGGAGCCTGATGGGAGATTGAGAAGAGCAGACGGTGCGAGTCCGGCCTCCGAGGGCTGGGCCGGGGAGCTAAGGGGAGGGTATAGGGCCAGGTACCAACCAGTTTCAGGGCAGGTGCCTGGAAGTGAGTCTCTATCAAGACCTCAGACTCCTACATGGGGACACAGCTTCCTTGGCCCTTCAAGTGACCAGAGGGGTGAAGAATTGTTGGGCAAATGCCTATGTAGAGGGTCTCTTGCAGGGCAGGGCAGGAGGACCTGAGAGGGAGCTGCAACTGCAAGGGAGACATCTAGGGGCTAGCAGGACCTGCCCAGGAGTCTCTCAAGGCTCATAGGGCAGGGAAGATCAGAACTGGTAGGTGGCCTATTACCCAGAGTTCTTTGGGGCCTGAGCCTAGCTCTGTCACCCATAGTCCTCTGCACTTCAGGAGACTAGCTCCATGTCTTGTGGGTCTGAAAACTGGATCTGTTAGTCATGATTTCTTTAGAGCAGAAGCCTCACTGGAGTCCACTGTGGACCCATTACCCATAAGCCTTATGTGGGCATGGCTCTGACTTTCTTACCCATGATCCCCTGCACTGGCTGTGTTACCCACAATCCCGTGCTGGTCTGGAGTTTGGTGCCATTGTCCATAATTTCTTCCAAACTTGAAAATTGTCACTTCTAGTTCCCTTGCAGGCCTGGAATCCACATTACTCATGAAATCCAGAGATCTGGGTGTGACCACAGAAGTAGGGGTTCTGGTTTCCAGGGCCCCCATCACCTGTGGCAGAGGGACCAGTCACTGAGGGATGGGAAGTCTTGGCTTCTCAGGTTCTCACCTGCTTGGGGCAGGGACTTCTTCCAGCCTCATGGCTGGGACCAGGCAGCTCCACCCCAGAGGGCCTGGGGAAAGCTGTTGGATGGGGACTGGGCTGTCTGTCCGTCTGTCTCTACTCACCATAGAGCCCAATCATTGTTTCCAAGATTAAAACCCTCTCAGCTAAAATCTTCAAAGCCTCGCGTAGTTGGTGCAACCCCTCCCCCTGCGGAGGAAAGAGACAGATGCAGCCGTGAAGGGGCTAGGGGAGGGGGCCCTGCAAAGCCTATTGGCAGCCCATGCCCCACCCTAGACATGCACCTGCAGCCCCACACCACCTGCCACAGCCCAGGGCCCAAGGACAGCTGGGACAAGACCAGGAGAGGGCAGGAGGGGTCAAGGCACAGGAAGCAGCCCCTTCAACCGGTCCCTTAGAATTCCTTCTGACTGCTCTCCTCAGATCCCTGCATCCCTGCTGGGTGCGGGGTAACCGCAATACACTGGGGCACTGCCCCTCTGCAACCTGCCACAGAGCCTGTTGCCTGACACCAGCTGTTCTCATAGCACCTACGTGATTCCTGCCACATCCCTGGGCCAGCTGTACTCTTGCTTACTTAACATTGTTTAAATACTACATTAGTCTCACCTTAGTTAACTGCTATTAGTGGGATCAGGCTACTTTCTGATATTGTTTCCATTCACCCCAGAATGAGCATACAAATAAGATTAGGAAAGGTTTCACTGTATCACTGTTGGCAAGCTGAGGCTGGGCCTGGTTGCCCCTCCCCAGTCTGTCTCACTCTGGGCTCACCTCTCCCTAGCTCTCACTACTCCAGATCCATGTTTTACATGTCCTATAGCCAGGTCCTCGACCCTGCCCTCTCTTCTAAGCTGTATCTCTAGCCACACCCCCACCTTAGGGATGTGGCAAAGGGTCCACAAACTCATCCCACTGTACCCCCTTCTCCATGCTCCTCACTCCCTCAGTGGTGCCAATTCCGCCCAGGGCTCAGGTCAGAGATCAGGACTGGCTGCCCCTCGCCAACAGTCCTTTCCTTCCCCAGCACAGGTTTCACAGCCTTGCCAAAACTCCACACTCCCTCACTCCTTCCTCTTTCCTAGACCGAATGAAAGTTATTTCTGGAATGTGGATATCTTAATTCCACCAGAGCACGAGGATGGCAAACAGAACTATTTCAGTCCCGACACAGCTCAGAGTCTCACTTGGCACCTTTTCTAGTGCAGATTAAGTGGAGGGATGATGCTTATTGGTACGATTTTTTAAAAAAAGATTTATTTATTTATTCAAACAGAACTGGTACAGGCCAGAGATGCAGAGGGCGAGAGGATTCACCAGAGACAGAGTGGGGAGCAGAACAGGCAGATCAATGAACAGGCAGATCAATGCTGAGGGGAGCAGCGGGCGGGTCAGGAGGGGTCTGCCTCACCATGTGGATCTCCTCTGGGGCAGGCGGGGATCGAACTCATGCGGAAGTGGCTTAAGCTTCTTAGTGCTGTGCTTTAACCCGCTGTGCCACCAGGGGTTATTGTACCTTATTGGTACAATTTTAATCCAACCCTTGAAGGTAGCTAGTTATTCCCACAGAAGCATCTAAAAGCCAACTGAGAGGCCTCCCAACATGTCTGTTGGACGTGAGCCTGTGTGGTCACCAAGCTGTCCTGTCCACGTCTCATGGACTGGGACACCCTTATGTCACCAACTGGCCATTGCAGCCTGGGGGCCACAGGGGCACATCCGGCTGCAGCCAAATTAATCCCTCTTCAAATATTGCAGGAGCGGGATCTAAAACTGGATGACCGGCACAAATGATGTGCAGCCCGTTGACATGGACAGCAGGCCAGTTGACTTCACAAGCCTCCTTCACCTGCGTCTAATCAGAAGGAAATTCTCAAAGGTATCTCGATGGTGGGACATTTACAGAAACACAAAGTCAAGAGAAAAGGGAAAAGGGCAGGAGACTTGTTCTAAATTTAAAGAGGCCAGACAGGGCCCTCCCTGGTGGCGCAGTCGGTTAGAGCGCAGCACTAAGGAGCTAAAGCCAATTCTGCATGAGTTCGATCCTCGCCTGCCCCTGAGGGGACCCACAGGGCACAGCAGACCTCTCCTGACCTGCCCGCTGCTCCCCTCAGCAGTGCACTCCGTTGATCTGCCTGTTCTGCTCCCCACTTTTTCTCTGGTGAATCCTCTCACCGCCCCTGCACCCCTGGCCTGTACCCCAGTTCTGTATGCACAAATAAATAAATCTTAAAAAAAAAAAAAAAAGAGGCTAGACATGTGACAAGCAATGTGTAAATCTTGATAGATCTTGGATTAAAAAAAAGCTATGAGACATTTTAGGGGGACCCTCCCTGGTGGCATAACGGGTTAAAGCACAGCACTACAAAGCCAGCCAAAGCCACTGCAGCATGAGTTCAATCCCCAGCTAGGGGCTAACCCACATGGCAGAGCAGACTGTGCCTGTCCGGTCCACTGCTCCCCTCAGCAGTGTGTTTCAGTCAATCTGCCTATTCTGCTCCCCACTCTGTCTCTGGTGAAGCCTCTCACTGCCCTAGTACTTCTGACCTATACCCCAATTCTGTATGCATAAATAAATAAATCTTAAGAAAAAATACCTTGGTTAAACAGAAGAGAAAAGAAAAAGCCTATGAATACATGAAGAGAGAAAGAACAAATGAGACAGACCAGTAGGAACAGCTCAATCCAGAGGAAGGGCAGTAAGCTACTCATTCAACTAGCTTTCCTGCGTATTTAAAAAATTTCAAACTAAAAGCTTGGAGGAAAAACTGTAAAAAAAAAAAAAATCTGCTATTTGGCCCTCTTCCCAGCTGGGTGGCCTGCTGTTGGCACCCATGATACCCCAGCCTGGCCTGCCCGCTACCCCTGGAATCCGAGAGCCCAGGGCCTGCTGGGCATCCCCATTCCATGAACAACACTCCTAGACATTCAGCCTGCCTGCTTCTCCTGCTCAGTTTTGCTACTGTAAATGTTGCTTTCCACTTCTTGCCCCACCCCGCCCCAGCCAAACAAGCACCAGGGTGCTCCAAGTTCCCCTGACCTCTGTCTGTCTTCCCCAGCCCTTCAGTTCCAGCCCTTGCAGCCCCTGGCTAGGAAGAGCACAAGCCTCTTGCCTAGATGCTGCCTTTTGCTTCGCCCTTATTTCCCCCTTTGCAAATTCCTTTTTTCACAGGGCAAATGGAGGGACCGTTCACAAGTAAAAATCTCACCAGAATACTCTTCTCCTTATAAATACTTCGGTGACTCCCCAAGTTCATAGAATAAAGTTCAAATTCCTTAATCAGGGCCTGAAAGTGACCTCGTTACCCCTCGCCTGTCAGATCCTGCCACCCGAAGTATCTGCAGTTCTTCCAGAACTCCAAGTCACTCTTGCCTCAGCAATTTTCCTTTCTGCCTGAATTGCCTTTGCCTGGGCCATGCACCCTTCTGCCCCAGCCTGGGTTTCCTCCTCCAGAACTCTAAGCCCTCCCCATCCCAGCTGAGCTCAGTCCTGTCACTGCTGATCACCTGTCCAACCCCTCCCCCACAACTCCAATGCGATGACTGCAGGAGGAGGACTGTGTCTAAATTATACCTATGTCCACTCTCCACTTGGGGGAGAATGTAGCTGGATCCTCTGATCCCAAGAGCTAGAAGCTTGACTGAGCTCCAGCTCTCCCAGCAATCTGCTCTGTGGAGATGGGTCTTAGTTCTTCTTCTTTGAATAAGGAGTTGGAGCTTCAGTCTATCTTGTCCGAGAGGGCCTGGCTCAGAGCAGTGGCTCTGGTGCAGTGCCTGCAGTGGAACCCCATAACCACTGAGTGTCAGTGATGAGCCACAGTTGGGCCACTGGCTGAATGGGAGTTGGCTGATGAAGGACTAGGGCCTTCCCCACACGGGACCTCATCCCCACCCAACTGCCAGGGACAGAGCTGATCTTCTGGCCCCAAAGCCTCATGCAGTTCCCAGCCCAACGGGCCCCCTCTGAGGCAGGCAGCAAGCAGGGACAGAAGTGCAGGTGGGTGAGGGGAGGCAACAGATGGATAGGGGCACTGCTACCTCCTGTGGGGCCCCTTCCACAGGTCCTGAGTTTGAGACCTGAGCTGGGGTAGCTCAGGCATCTGTTCCCCTGCCAGGATCCCCAAGCAGGGATGGGCTGCTCAGCCTAATCCAGCCTTCACCTAGTTCTCCCAACTCTCCTGAGCTGGGTGGATTGTGATTCCAGACCCAGGGTCTCTGGGAGACGCCAGTGAAGGGGACTAGAGATAGCAGAGGGCCCACTCGGGTTTACTCGACCCCCATTTCATGCCCAAGCTGACAGTGTGCTTATTCTGGAGCCACAGAAGAGTCGGGGGAGAGTTGGCGGGGGCTGGGTGGCAGCATGGGGCTAGGAGAGGCTTGTTGGAGAGGTAGCAGGGCCCCAGAAGTCATGGAAATACACAGGGGAGGGTCTCATGCAGGGTGGAGGGCTCCCACGGCTGTATCCATCACTGACCCCACAGTCAGGAGCAGAGAGGCAGGGGGATGGTGGATGCTTCCCATGTCCTCACTAACTAGAGTCTTCCAGGAAGCAGGGCATCCCAGCAAGACTACAGCAGTAAGGTAAGGAGGGCAGGGCGGCGAGACGGAGACATGATACCAGCCCCCCAAAAGAGCCTCCCAGGTGTTTGTGCTGTAGGGGTCCACTCCAATCCTGTCCAGTTTCCAAATGGCTCCTATGTCAGTGATAGCTTCGGTGCCTGCATTGTGGGGCTTCTGGTCCTCAACAACATGAGCCTTGGGTGGATAGATCTCTAGACCTCAAAATTCACTCACTGTAGCTATCGCTGATGATTGTGTAGGTTGACGGGACACCACATCAATTGCGGGACTTTGAGGGGTGTGGTTTCAAGGTTCCCTTTCCCATTTACTCTGCGTCTCCGGTGCATGTGAGAGTTTCTAGCCCCCTTCCGATTCTTCAGGAGCTCCCTCTGTGTATAGTGGTGCCTTGTCTCATTTTCCCTGTTTCTCCCAGGAACATAACAGTTTCTCTTCTCCCACGCCTCGTGGGTCTCGACTGTGTGTGGAAAGCAAGCTAGTTACAGTTTTTTGGGTCCCCTGATCTCTTTTACCATGTACACATGCACACATCAGTTTCTAGGCCTCCTGACTTTCCTGTGTATACAGTGCTGTCTAAGATCCTTTTTACCAGGGGCCTCCTGTGCACTTTGCTGTCTTTAGGCCTCCCTTCCTCCACATCATGGGTTTCCAAAGGCTCCCTACCCCACTCAGGTGACACATATCCACACATCACTGGATACTGTTTCATGCTTCCCTGTCTTCTTCAACTAGGGGAGAAGAAGCCAAAGCCTTTGCTGGGAGGGGGCAATGGAAGCAGGTCAGCCCACACCGCCCAGGAGGAACAGGCAGTGTTACCCTGACCTAGCAAGGCCCAGAGGGAAAAGGCCAAGACAGGGATGAAGACAGAGAGCGCGCCTGGGGTCCGCTGGCCCTGCCTGGTTGGGAAGGACAGGGCTGGGAAGGGGCCAGGGCAGCAATTGTTAAGGCCCTGGGACACCAGGTTGCAAAGGGAGGTCCCGATGGGGTGTCCCCATTCCCAGGGCCTACTGGTGAGAAAAAAATCTGAGTGCCCAGGGCAGGAGGGAGCAGGAGGAGATCTGTGTGGGCTGAAACTTACCCAATGGCCCCTTTCACCAGGGTCTCCTTTGGGGCCAGGTTCTCCCTGCAAGGACAGATGGGGTAAGTGAGAAAGGGATAAAGGGAGAGAGAGAAGGAATGAAAGAGAAAGGAGATTGGGAGACTGACAGAGACAAAGAAGTAGCTTGCATTGGACTAACATTGGACAGAATACCAAATCAAAACAAAAATCGGAGGGAACAGAGCGTGATAAAGAACAGACACTGGAGGATATTCAACCTTTGAATGATAGGAAATGAACTGAGTGAAATCATATATTAATGGACTTTCCTTTGAGAAAACACCCCAGTCCCCTCAGGCTCAAGAAAACACCTTAAACAGAACGCTTTGGTCAAATTTGCCCAAGGTGTCAGAGGTTGGAGTTATGATCAGAAGCTGGAAAAGAGAAAACAGTAGAAAGCAAGGGGGTGGGAGTGGTGAAAACTGCATAAACATTCCCTTCTAGGGCCTCCCTGGTGGCACAGGGGCTAAGTCTCAGCATCACTGAAGCCCAAGTCCTATCCCGGCCAGGAGCTGACCCACATGGCGCTGCAGACCTCTCCTGTCCCGCCTGCTGCTCCGTTCGGCGTTGGTTTTCGTTGGTTTCCCTTTTTCGGTTCTTCCTTTTTTTTGTTGATTCTTTTCCCCCCCCACACCTCTGCCCTACACAGTTCTTCTATGCATAAATGAATAAAAATAAATCTTTTAAAGAAAGCAAAACTGGGGCGCAACCAACCAAGATGTTTTTCAGCTGGGGAGTGGATAAATACATTGTGGTACATTCAGACAGTGAAAAATTATTCAGCACTCAACAGAAATAAACTATCAAGTCATGAAAGGTGACAGGGGAAACGAACGTAACTTCACATCGCTAAGTGAAAGAAATCAACCGGAAGGCTGCAAGCTACAGCTCAATTATGTGACATTCTGGAAAAGGCAAAGTCATGGAGATTGAAAAGACTGGTGGTTGCCAGGGTGAGGGAGGAGGCATGGACGAGCAGGCAGGGCACAGAGGGTTTTACGATAGTGAAGTTACTGTGTATAATACTACAGTGGTGGGCACATTTGTCAACCACCCTACAATGTTTGACACCAAGAGGGAACATACATTTGTCATGGAATCTGGGTGACAATGACATGCCAATGGGGCCTCATTTGTTGTATCAGCTGTACCACTGTGGTACGGATGTCAGCAGTGGGGAGGCTGTGCATGTGCAGAGACAGGGAATACATGGGAATTCTATGTATTTTTTGCTCAATTTTGCTGTGAACCTAAAGCTGTTCTAAAAAATGAATTTTATTAATTAAACAAACCAAAATGACCAATAAAAACAAGTTTAGCAATCTTACAACCCCAGGAATGTCAGTGAACTGAAAGCATGATAAACAGAAAGAAAATAATACCCTACCACATATAATCAATCTGTTGAAAACCAAAGGTAAAGCAAAAGTCTTAAAAGCCAAAGACACACACACACACACACACACACACGTGTACAATGGTCAGAAGACCACAAAACAACATCTTTAAAGTTCTAAGAGAGAAAACTGCCAACCATTCATTTTCATCAGTGTAAATATCTTCTTAAAAATAAGGTTAAAAAAAAGCTGCAAGGATTTGCTGTCAGAAGACCCACATGATGAGAAAGGCTGAGATGTTCTTTAAGCTGAAAGAAAACGATACCAGACAGGGTTGTGGAGCTACAGGAAGGCTAACAAGCACTAGCAGTATATGCAAATGACATTTTCTTTTTGTTTTCTTAACTTTAAACATCAACTGGCTATTGATAGCAGTAATAACAATAATGCATTATGCAGTCATTATGAAATACAGACATAAAATACATTGACAGCAATAGCACAAGGATGGAATAAGTGAGCTATATATCTTTTAATGGTCCTGCTTTTACATGAAGAGGTATAATATTAATTCAAGTAAACTGTGAGAAGTCAAGGATACTATTATCCATGAAATAACTATGAAAAAATAGCACAAGAAGAAATAGCTAAAAAGTCATTAGCGGGGATTACAATTGAGATGGAAAAAAAATGTACAAAATGATGTAAAAATAAACTGTTATAAAATAAAACTTAAAAAAAAAGTAATTAGCAGGGACCTCCCTGGTGGCACAGGAGTTAAATCTCAATGCTAACAAACTCTCACTAGCCACTGCAGCACTAGTTTGGTCCCCAGCCAGAGAGGTGACCCACAGGGCACAGCAGACCTCTCCTATCTCACCCACTGCTCCCTCAGCAGTGTGTTTTGGTAGGCCGTCAGTTTTGCTTCCCACTAGCTCGCGTGAATTCTCTCACTCCCTGCACCTCTGGCTTACACCCAAGTTCTTGTATGCATAAATAAATAAATCTTTAAAAAAAGTCATTAGCAGAGATAAAATGGAATTGTGAACTACTCAATCTAAAGAAGGCAGGAAAAGAAGGGGGGTAGAAGAGAAGAGGCCAACAGATAGCATGGCAAGATGGCGGCCGTAAACTGGGCCACGGCAGTGATTACACTTATCATTCACATCTAATATCATTCCACGTAAATGAAATCAGCAGTTAGGCCATTGAACAAAAAAAGGGAGCAAGACCCAAGTACATGCTGTTTACAAAGACACACTGTAAATAAAAAGACACAGATTGAAAGTAAAAAGAGTGAAAAAGACATGCAAACATTAGCTAAAGAAGCTATTTTAATGTCAAAGTAGGGAGTATTACCAAAGAGAAAGATATTTATGTCATAAACATGAAAGGACTAAGAAAACAGTAAGATCCTGAATGTATATGTACCTAATAATGAAGTTTTGAAATACATGTGGCAAAAATTGGCCAAACTGAAGTGAAAAATAAATAAATCTATAATTGTAGTTGGGGAGAATGAGTGAAAGAGAAATACAGAGTCAGAGACAGATATAGAAGGAAAGTGAAAAGAGACACAGGACACAGCCAGAGTGAGGGATGGGGGCGCTGAGCACAGGGATGGAGGGGGAGCAGGGGGCTGGGCTGTGGGATCGTGGGGGCTTGCAGGGTGGGTGGCTTCACTCACCCGCTGCCCTGGGGATCCATGAGGCCCAGTCTCCCCACGCAGTCCCTGTGTAGGAGGGAGGAAAGTAATGGGGTTGGCTGAAGAGGCTCTGACCCAGGGCCCCTAGGACTTCCCAGAATTCCCCACGGAAGCAGGCACCTTGGTACTCACTTTCTCACCCTTCTCTCCTGGGTGGCCGGAGATTCCTTTAGGGCCACTGGGGCCTGGCGGTCCCTAAACAACAAAACAGGGCCTCAGCCTTCTGATGTGGCAGGGTAGAGTGGGCAGGACTTGAGTGGGGGCAGCTTGGCCTGGACCTTTGGGCTCTTTTCCATTTACCCAATGCCTACGTACTGGAGTCATCTCACACAGTTCAGAACTGGGGCCCTGGAGTCAGAGTCCCCACAAGATCTGGAAGCTGTCACATGTGAGCCATGGCCCTAGGAAAGAATCTCCACTTTTCTTGGCCTTACTTGATGACAATACTGCTTCTAGTTATAGGCACTGAATGAGAAGACTTATGGAAAGTAGTTTGCATATTAACTGCTCCAGAAATGTTTGAATGAATGAATGAATAAAAGGGTGGATGGATGGATGCATGGATGCATGGATGGGAATAGTAGGGTCGGGGCAGGAGTGGGGGGTGAATTGGAAAGGTAAATAAGAACATTTGGCGAACTACTCACAACAAGTCCAGGACTCCCAGGGGTGCCCATGGGGCCAGGAGGTCCGGGGGGACCTGAAATAAGACAGGGTCGAAACAGAAGACAATGCCAGGAAGCCTACCATCACTCCCGAGGTCAAGAATCTCCACTGTTCTTGGCACTTTTCATTCACTGTCCTAGTAACCCCACCCTTACCCCAGACCTGCACTCAACTTACCTACAGGCCCTGGGGGACCTGGAGGCCCAGCAGGTCCCTGGGCCCAGTGGCTGCTGGTCTCAGTAAAGGTATTAGACAGTAATGGGTCCCCTGTGGGGGGAGAAAGATAGTGAGTTCAGGGTGGGGTGGCACGGGGTGATCCAACTTTACCTGTTGCCTCTGCCAAGACAGCTCTGACTGACCTGTGGCTGTGGCCACTAAGCACCAGCTCTAAGGGGGTGTGTTGGGGGAGAGTGTTGGCTACTCACCCAGGAAGCAGGGAGACCTGGGTTCTAACCCTGTCACAGTCTAGCTAGTGACAGTCAGCAAGACAGTCCAGTGGGCTGAGCCTACTGTCACATGTCAAATGGGAATAATAATGAAGCTACTACTTTATTAACTTTCTACTTTGTACGAGGCTTTTATGGATGGGCATCACAGAGTTCTGGGTGCTGTCACCATCCCCATTGTACAAAGGAGACTGAGGCAGGGGGGTCTGACCCCTAGCTCACATGGGTAGATCAGGCGAGGTGGAGGTGAAGGAGGTATATGGGCCTCTGGGGCCTCTCTGAACCAGGGGAGGGGCCATGGCCTTGAGAGCTCATGGCTGGCTTCCTGCTGCCGGGCTTTTGAGCTTCTTGACACTCTGAGGGCTGGATCCTGGCCAGCTCCAAGGTTTGACAGGAGGACCCACTCGCAGTGATTCAGAGAACAGGCTCTGGAGGCCACCTGGGTTAGACGTTGGCCCCCTATGCTCCCTGGTGGCACAGGGCTTAAGTTTCAGTGCTATGAAGCTATCACCAGCCACTGTGGCATGTTCAATCCCTGGCCAGGGAGCTGACCCACATGGCACAGCTGACCTCTCCTGTCTCGCTGCCCCCTGCCCCCCTCTGCAGTGTATTTCAGTGGGCCTGCCTGTTTTGCTCCCCACTGTCTCTGGTGAATCCTCTTACCTGCCCCCCCCCACACACACACCTCTGACCTTCTGGCCTGTACTACAAGTTCTTGTATGCATAAATATATAAAAGAAATATTTATTAAAAAAAAAATAAAAAGGAAAGAAGCTGGCCCTTATGCCCCGGTTATATGACCACCCTCTCTGGTCCTGTTTTCATCTGTGAACAGAGGAAGAACACAGTGCCCCCTGGAGGGCTGGGTGGCATGTGAGCAAGTCTGGTTCACAAAGGAGCCTGATAACAGGAAGGCACTGTAGTGACAGTTACGCCAGCCTCACCCCACTCCCACATTCACCAGCTGGGACCCCAAGGAACTCACCATGCTGGGTGATCTGGGTATGAGGTGGTCCAGCAGGGGCAGGAGGTCCTGGGGGGCCAGGAGGCCCTGGTGGGCCTGGAGGGCCCCTCTCTCCAGGGGTGCCCACAGCTCCAGCCTGGCCAGGATTTCCTGGGGGGCCTTGTGGACCTGCAATTAAACCAGGGGGTTGGTGGTTACACAGGGCAGGGAAGTCCAGGTGACCTTCAAGGGCAGCAGGTACAAGTGTGGGCTCTGGACTCACAGGCCTGGGTAGGTCCTGGCTCTGACCTCCCTGACTATCTCAGGCTTAGGATGCTGGTCATTTGGTATACAGTAGACGCTCAGTAGTGATTTCCAGAATATTCTTTTTTCCCTTCCAGGCTTTTGCTCAAGTAGCTTCCCTACCAGCCCCCTCTTTGTTCTGCCTAGGGTATAGTTTGACCCATTTTTAGGCCTCTTAAGATGGAGCCCTGAGATGTCATGCCTGCTGGGAAGCCCTTCCCACCTCTATCCCATTCAGACTTGGTCTGGGATTCCTTCCTAGGGGCTCCATTCCTAATAAGAACTCTGCTCACATGAGCTAGATGCTGCTGTTTCTCCCCTTTCTCTGCCCCAGGAGCTCCAGAAGGGCAGGGATGGTCTGACCCCACCCCCCACCCTGGTACCCAGCTCAGTGCCTGCTGGGAGCATGGGCCAAATGAATGCAAAAGAGTTTTGGAGAGCCCAGGTATGAGTAGAGAGATGGGGGAGCTGAGAGACAGCCAGGTGGAAGTGGCCTGGGTCACGTCTCACTAGGTCAGGACGGAGGAAGGAAGATCCCGCCCTGGGTCCACCTGGGGTGCTGGTCAGGGAGGTGGGCCCAGTGCTATGGACACTCACCTGGTGGGCCTCTTATCCCCATGGGGCCCCGGCTGCCAGTGTCTCCCTTGGGGCCAGAGGGCCCAGGAAGCCCCTGGATACCAACTTGATCTAGGAGAGAAAATTCATCAGTTAGGCAGCTCCAGAGTTGCTCCTGCCAGTTCCTGGGCCTGGGCCTAGCCAGTACCTACCATCACGAGGGAGCAGTGGGGCCCTGGTGTTCTCTCTGGCTCCTGGCAGTCCTGCAGTGGGGTGGTAGATGGGCAGTGTCATCCAGCATCCCTGCCCTCCCCCTACCTCGTTCCCCAGGGGGACAAAACTGGCTGGTCCTCCCCGGACTTCAGAGCTCAGGCCTTTTAGAAACCAATGCCTCAGGCCCTCTGGAGAGCTGGGAAGATCAAGACCCACTAGGCGGCCAAGGGGGTCACAGCAGGGGGTACTGCAGTCTCATTCCCACACAGGAGTAGGCTGCCCCAATCCACTCACCTTGGAGGCCTCCACCCCCTGGGCTGCCCTGGGCAGCTGGGGAGCCCCACAGTGAGGCCGGGTCCTCTGGAACAGCTGGGGTCACGGGTGCTGCCTGCCCTGGGACAGTGAGCACTGCCACCTGTGGAGGAAGGTGGGGGCAGATGCCTGGGTCTCAGCAGAGACAGGCCAACTGAGGGCCGAGGATTTCATCAGACTGACTGTGGCTTTCAAACTGCACAGTTCGCCACAGTCACTGGAGAGAAGCCTATGCCAGTGCGCTGCCCCCAGCCTGAGTTCTGTGATGTTGTTTGTCGGGCCTTGGAGTTTTGTCCTGTGTAAATAATATGAAGCACCAGGGGGTGGTGGCTGGACTTTCCAGGAAATCTGGAGGGAAGTTTGGAGAGTGAGAGGTTCTGACACATATGCAGAACTCACTTTTGGGCCCAGTGTGGGGAAGGTTCTGAAGGTGGGCACCTCACACCCCCACCCCCACCCCCGGCCAGCTGCTGATTGAAGAGGCCAGAGCACCCCTGTACAGGCTGTGGGGGATCAAGTGGAACTCAGCCACAGCCCAGACCTGGGACTGAGTTGTCCCTCAGGCTGGCTCTTTCTGGGACGGAGCTTGGGGGAGAGTGATGGGTTCTGGGGCTCCCACTCCTTACAAATGGATTCTAGCACATACTGTCAGGTCTGGTCTTGAAAGCCCAAACTGATGCCATGACAGGCTTCAGAATGCTTCTGAACCAGCCAGGCCTAAGATTCGGTTATCAACAAGGCGCCAAGGCCAAGTTTAACTGTAAATGTCCTAATCTTGCTCATTCCATAGCAACAGCCAATTAGCAAGTAGGCAAGTAACCAGCACATATCAGGAAAACGCCAGATGTCCTAAGGTATGCAGGGCGAGTAGTGATCAACCCGGTTAAGACAAGATAACTTTGTTCAATGTCCACCAACAAGGTACTGCTGAGCAAAAATTCCCCTCTGCTATGCTAAAACTCCCCTCTTCTGTAATAAAAACCTGCCTTCCCTGAGCTCGGGGTTCTCAACTTTAGCTGCTGCGTCGCTGCATGTTGAGAGCTCAGGCTCGAGCTTGCAATAAAGACCCTCATGTGCTTTGCACTGGAATCAGCTCCTTGGTGGTCTTTGGGAAACTCAAAACCTGGCTCAACAGTTTCTCTGCTGGATTCACTGGAGCATCTTTTCATGTTAGAAGATGGAGGTGTAGTTAATGGCTGTCCGGTCTCGCTTCCCAATTATGTCTGGTTTTCCAATTTCACTATTAATGTTTAGCACTTTGATAAACAACTTCACATCTAATTTCCTTGTTTCAAAAGATTTATTTAGTTGTGCATACGAGAACTGGAGTGTAGGCCAGAGGTGTGTGTGTATGGGGGGCGGGGTGAGAGGATTCACCAGACAGAGTGGGGAACAGAACAGGCAGATCGACTGTAATCCACTACTGAGGGAGCAGCAGGTGAGATGGGAGAGATCTGCTGCGCCTTGTGGGTCAGCTCCCTGCCTGGGGATTGAACTCGTGCTGTAGTGGCTGCAGCCAGCTTCATAGAGCTCCCCACATCTGATTTCCTTAAGACAGTTTCTCAGAGGAGGGAATGACATAGGAAAAGATAGGTAAATGAAATGTATATGTGTCCTTTAGAAAATCTGGAAGACAGATGCATACATGCTGACTGGCACAGGCATCATGAGTGAACGGCTTGTGCTGAGTTTCTCCCATTTCTAAATTTTTTTAATTGTTAAAAACCTTTTAACCTTGATGTAATTTGGGATGGGCAGTAGATATTGTTTTTGAAGCTGGCAAGGTAGTATTATCAGAAGGGAACAAAGGACGAAGGTGATGGGGCAAGGAGGGGATCCACCCACAAGTTCTAGGGTATCTATGCATCTCTGCCTGGGGTGAGGTGGGGTACATGAGGGAATCTCAGGCCTCTGGGAGGAAGAGCAAGCCAGGCTGTCTGTGTCTGCCAGGCTTGCTGGGGACGGGCATGGCAGCGGAGACCCAAAAGGCTAGGCAGGTAATGGGAGGGTGGTGCTGCCTGGCAGGGAAGCTGCTTGTCCCTGAGTGTTGAATCAAGGCTCAGAGCTGTCCTATGAGCATGGTGGGTGCAGGTGTGGGGAGAGGGGAGGCTGGAGGAGGGGTCAGCTGCTCACCCACCTTGGCTTCCAGCACCTTCAGCCGCTCATTCAGCTCCAAGACTTTGCTGCAGTTGAGACAACCTGCAGGGAGAAGGGAGGAGGGTGGGGTTAGCAATCCCAGGTTTCCCCTCGGAGCTCCCCAGCCTGGAGGCAGGAAGCGGGGAGGCACAGGTGCCTGGTGACCTGGTGACCCTAGCCCATTAGGTAGCCCGCCTCAAGGAAGGGAGTCCAGCATCACAGTGGGTCCAGGGTAGACCATGCCCTGCAGGCCCCTTTCGGCTCCAGCACCCCCAGAATTCCATTTTTCTCCCGAGCAGGGCCAGGGGGATAGATTCCTGCTTCTGGGAAGCCAGGGCGGCAAATCCAGCTGTTTCCCACCTGAGTAGGACTGGCTCGGGCTTGTGGGCTTTGGGACTGACCTAGTGTGGACAGGCTGCCTCAGGGTGCCACCCCCTGGCTCTCCCTCCCATCCCTGTCCAGCCTCTGTCTCCTCAACACTGCCCTCAGGCTGTCACAGTCTGGCCCTGGCTGCAGGCCATGGCCAGCCAAGGTCTCCAGTTCTCACTGAGCTCAGTTCAAGGGTGGAGCAAGCGCTTAACAAGCACAAAGCCAGGAGTCCAGTCCCAGTACTGCCCCTTCCTGGCAGTGGGGCCTTGGGCAGGGCATGCCCCCTCTGAACATCAGCTTCCTCCTCTTTAAAATGGGACAATGATGCCTTCCTGGGGTGGAGGGACAGCTGTGAGGTTCAAACAAGTTGATGATGGAAAGCACCTGACACATGCCTCAAACATTGCAGACACTCAGAAAATTTAAGTGAAAAGGGGGAAGTGGGTGTTTCTGCAAGAGTCCAGCGGTCACGGGTCTTGGGGTACCTAGGTCCAGGTCATTCCCTGGGGCCCTTCCTCTCCTCCTCCCAGTTTTCTCTCCAGCATGGGTGGGCAAAAACAGGGGTTTATCCTGGACCCTCTGCTGCTGGACACCGCTGGGTTTTAGGACATATTGAATTGTCCTTGCTCTTCCGGACCCTCTCCAACCCAGAAGGACTCCGACCGTCACCCCAGGACCCACCTGAGAAGGCTGTGGGCCGAAGCACCATCCGCCGCATGGTGTTGCCTGACCACCCGGGCTCGACAAACCCAGAGGAGCCTGCAACTGAAGGGCAGGGGTGAGAGCCTGCTGCTTGCACATGCGTTCTGCCAGGTGCTCCCAGCTGCCCTCGCAGCCCCAGCAGGGCTCCCTGCTCCCTTTAGTGTAGCCTGAGAGAGAGGCTCAGAGAGGTGGAGCAGTTTAGCTGGGTCACACAGCATGAACTTGAATGAGCTGGGACAGCTGCCAACTCACTGATGGGCTAGGGAGAGGGGCCGGCCATGGGTGAGGCTGGGCAGGTTGCATGGGAAGAGCCAGCTGCAGGGGTGGGAGAGGGGTGCAGCTCATCACTTGCTGACCTGTGACTTGTCCTCTCTGGACCTATTTTCCCATCTGTTAAATGGGATCTTGAGGCTTCTATTCCGCCCTGGCTGGTGTGAAACCTGAGGCTGGCCTGTGTGCAAAGGGTCCACTGTGCACACACAGGACTTGGTACACAGTGGGTGCTCAGTAAACAACAGCTGCAATATCCCTGTCTACTCTCACCCTGCCCCCTTGGTAGGCAGTGAAATGGGTCCAGCCTGATTTTAAATGAAATCCAGAGGGAGGCCACTGGCTGCCTGGGAAGGCAAGGGGGACCCCCCCTCCCAAGAGCAGGCTGCTCAGGCTGGTGTGGCTTTGGGGGCCTGGTTTTCTCCACAGCTGGAGGGACATGCTGGCTTAGCCAAAGGTGGGGGTACAGCTGGAGGGGCTCTGGAGTCAGCAGTGGCAACTGCTCCACTCTGCTCCCCGCCCCCGGCTTGCCTTTTAAGGTCACGAAGTGTCGTCTGGGGGGAGACAAGACCCAAATAAGGCACAGGCCTGGCAGCCCAAAGCCAGCCTGTGGGTTGGTGCAAGGAGTAAGAGGCGCCAGGAACTCAAACCAGACGGGTCCCTCTGGCCAGGCCCCAGTGGAGAGACTGCCAGACTTTGCTCTGGGTCCTACCACGGGGCCGTCACAGGCTGGGCCTGTACCCCCAGTACACCCTGCTGGCCAGTGACTCACCCTGGTGCAGGGGGTAAATCTCACCCAGGACACAGAAAGGTGGCTTGGCAGGCAGGCCCAACGGGGGCAGGGGCTGGGGGGCTCTGGGTGGGGTGGGTGGAGGGAGGGTGCCGCCGTGAGCCATGCCCAGTGTGAAGTGCTTCATGAAGTCCAGCTGGATCCTACAAGGGAACCAGCTAACATTTGTTCAGCACTGACTTGGGCCTGGCACATTCTGAGCACTTCACCTACACTGTGTTCACTCAGCATCCTCACAACAGCCTGGGAGGGAATGGCAGTGTCACCTCCACTCTCCACACGTGGAAACTGAGGCACTGAGCAGCTCTGCACTGCCCCATGCTCAGACAAATGGACAAGTGAAGATGAAGCTCTCTCCTTGTGGGGAGGGAAGTGGGGGAAGGTTTGAACAAGGCAGAGAGGTGAAGAGTCCACCAGAAGGGTGAAGCCTGAATTTGAACCCAGATTGGTCTAACTCCAGGGTCACCTGGCACCTTATGCCAGTGCCCGAGTCCCCTGGGCAGAGGCAGGGGCTTTGCCCAGCAGGAATGGTGGCTCCTGGAACAGCCTCCCCGGGCTTTCCTCATCCTCGCTGCTCCCAGGTGAAGCTGTAAAGTGCCATTTTATGTTGCTTTTCAGGAGGTTGAACAACAGAAGCCGCCAGCCCTCCAGCCCCGGCAAGCTTGGATTTTCCTGGGGATGGAGCTTTGCCAGCTCATCACGCTGCCTGCTCTTCCCACCACCCTGCTATCGTTTTCCCTTTTTTCCATGGCACTTTCCACCCTCTAAATTGGCCTGTACTGTGCCAGTTTCCCCATCTCCTACTGAAGGTCACCCCCCACCCTGAGGTGGAATACAAGGCCCCACCAGGGCCTCATCTGTCTCGTGCCCACCCTGGCAGAACACCCTCACGCAGTGGGGCCTCACAAACAGGCCATCTGCTGCTGAATCACTGCCTGAAAATGAACTTAAAACAAGCAAATAAAGTCAAAATCAAAATAATATGGACGGCAGACACAAGGGTCTTGAAACTGAGTTTCACGTTCTCCTCCGGTCGCAATGGGGTGTCCTCCACGTTAGAATCTGTGAACTTGTGGTTGGAAATTCTGTTTTGACCAGATTGCTTTTGGATATTTCACTAGGAGCCAGAGAGAACCAGAAAAGCAAATGAAAACAAGGCCTGACCAGCAAGGCAGACAGAACTGGCTCCGATGAAGCGGGAGTTAAAATTAAAAAAAAAAAAAAAAAAAAAAAGCTTTAAAGAAATAACAAAATTGTCAAAAAGACCAGAAAATATTGGCTCTGAATTCAGGATTCACAAGAAGTACTCCCCAAATTCTGGCAAATGGACATAACTACTTTAAGGACAAACCAGGTTGTCAAGTGGCCCTATCCCAGTCAAAGTTCCATTAGGGAAAGAGCGGTGGGTCGGGGAGCTTTCCAGCAGACAGTGTGGAGTCCCTCCTGCTGGTGTTGGAGAGGGCCCTGCCCTGAGGCGGGGCCCCCACCCCGGCTTCACCCCCTCAGTTCTGGTAGGTCTGAGCACCACAAACCCTGACTTTGGGTCACTTCCCACCCATCGAGGGGTCCCAATAGAGGGTTCCCACCCATCGAGGGGCCCCCACTCCCATTCTTATTGCTGCTGTTCCCATGTCACCTCCTCCAGGAAGCCTTCCCAGGACAGACCGAGGCACCCTGACACCCAGGACATCTCAAAGCCCCGGTGAAGCTCTGATCACTCCCTGTCCACAGGGTCTGTGCCACCCGCAGTTCCTAGCCCTGTGCACCTATATGGAGCTGGCCTTCTTTCTGGTCAGTGCCTCGCCTGAGAGGCCTCAGTGCCCCTCTTCACTGGGTCCTCCTGGGAACACTAAGGCCCAGAAGGGAGAAGCCATGTGTCCATATGTCAGGACTGAAGGAACTTAGATTCCAACACCGAGTGGGGTGTGAGAGGCTGGGACAATGTCCCTGGGCTCCACGTCTGACTCTCTCAGGAGAGGGTCTAAGAGAGGGGCTTCCTCATTCACAAGTCACCCCCCAGGTGTGCTGGGTCCTGTGCCCATGGCCCCAGTGGTGCTGCCTTCCCAGCCGATTCCCCTCTTGGGAATTTATTTTGCAAATGTAAATATTTGTTGCTGTTGGTCTGAGCCAGGGACTGGGGTCCAGGCTGGGGCCGGAAGTGCCTAAGAATCCTCAATTAGGCCTCTGGGAGGTCTCAGAGTTCCACCTGGCTCCCTTATGCCAGTAAAATGAGGTTCCTATATATTTCCTGTGCACCCACTTGACATGAGGCCCTGCCAGGCACTAGCAAGACCATTTTAATGACAGCGGTGGGGGGGGGCACTGTAGCTAGTTGGGAGCCCCAAGAAGGCAGCAGGCAGAGCGGATAGCAGGCTGGGGCAAACTGGAGGGAGAGTGACGCTGGGGTGTGTCACTGGGATACCAGGGGTGTGGAGGTGGTGGGCTCCAGGCTGGGGGCAGAACAGACTGGCCAGAAGTTGAGGGGTAGAAGCCGCCAGGCCTCCCAGGCAGAAGGGAGCAGATGGGTGGCGGACACAGGAGGCTTCCTGCAATGTTTGGCTTGAGGGACTCTGAATCCAAAGCGCAGGCTTGGCACACCTGGTTTCTGGCTGGAGGACCCAGGGAAGCAGGGAAGCCCCGCCCGGCCTCGATGGTGCAGCGGTCAGTGTCCAGAAGGATGAGGGTGGAACCTCCAGTTTGCTCTTAAGCTTCTTTTGCTGTGTGACCTTGGGTGAACTTCCCTTCCCTGGCTCCCCATCATGGAGGACAAGGGTCGTGAGAGTCCACAGATGGAGTGGGACAGACGGGCCAACGATAGCAGGGAGAGAGGGGGAGGCGCCAAGGCCACCCGATCTGAAGGTGGGGTCCTGGGGAGACGATGCTCGAGCCCCTAGCATCTCTCTGTCCATCTGGGAGGAGCTCTGTCCCCACTGGCTGAACATGCTCCCCTGAGAGCCAGTGCTGCTGGCTGGACTGCTGACCTGAGGTCACGCTGACAGTCTTTGAATCGACTATGACCTGGAGCAACGTGTCCCCTCTCTCAAGCTCAGTGTCCACATCTGGACCTTCTGCACACAACACTGTGGCACCGAGTGTGCGTGCTCAGTCCCGGAGCCCAGCACAGAGGGCAAGAGGCAGGGTCCTCCGCATTACCCGTGGGGAAGCTCTGAGGCGGGGGTGGTGTGCAGGCTTCAGGTCAGTCTCCGAGGGCGTCCTGGCCACTGCTTACTTGCAGTGGGACGTGCTGTGAGACCCCACCCTCTCCGAGCCTCACTCTCCTACGCTAGACAGTGAGACTGAGAGGTGAGAGAGTAGCCTGCGGGGAGGCCCCAGGGGCAGGAGGCCACAGCAGAGCCCACCAGCCTGGGCCACTGTGGGGATGTGGGACAAGGCCACATGGAGCCTTCTGACCTTGGCACATCCTCATTCATTTTATTTTTTTCCTGGTGGGGCAGGGACTCCCCCGCTGCCATGCTGCCCCACTCCCAAGGCCTGGAGGCACTGATGGTCCCCACCTAGCTTGAAGGGTCCTCAGACCAGCCCTTTGCCTCTCTGAGCCTCAGTTTCCCCACCTGTAAACTGGGGTACATTTTACCCTCTCCCTCAAAGGTTTTCAAGAATATCAAAGAGACCATCTTTGTTCATCAACACGATCCTAAACATGACCGTTCTGCAGATGGGCAAACCAGCACTCACAGCTGTGAGATCTGCTGGCCTCGTGCGCGTCAAGTCTGCAGACTCCAAAGACCTATCTGCTGAGCAGCTGGAAAATGGCTCTCAGAGGTCCAGGCCAGTCCTGGAGAGCTGCCACAGAACCCCCACACAGGGGCTAGAGAGGAAGGAGTGAAATTCACTGAGCATATCAACACTATGTTCAAGCCTTGCATCTCTGGTTCTCATCAGACACAGGTGGGCACTTCCCCACTCCAGGTGAAGCTCACAGAGCGAGTGCAGCTCTTGCAGGCTGGACCCTGGAATGATGGGAACTCCTTTTCCCTCCCTGGCTCACTCAGCTGCTCTGGGCCCCTCGCCCCTGGCAGCACAGCTCCATGCCCCAGGGTCACGTCACAGCACTGGGTAGACAATGCGTGTGGTCAGCAGCGGGAAACAGCCCAGGGGACCAGCTGCAGCCAGCTGTCAGGAAGGACAGGGCCGGGATGGTTAGCAGTGTCCCTGGTCAGCAGTGCTTCCCTGCCCCTCATTCCCAGGGTTCTGGCAGGGCAGTTTTCCAGGACATCCAGGTCTAAACATGTCTTTACTCAACTCCAACCCTGTGGTTGCGGCCCTACAGGGGTCCCACAGGCTGCCACGCCACCCTCAGGCAACACCCCTGGGAGCAGCCTCTACAAGCCAGTCATTTCACAGGTGAGGACATGGAAGCTGGAGGGCTGCCTTAGGTACCCCCACTAGGGGCCTTCAGAGAAGGCGGCCTGCCCCGTGGGCATGAGCAGCTCCCCAGCCCCAGCCCCCTCTTGCACAGTGACTTGCACAATGCATGGGGAGTCCTGGCCCCAGGCCACACATCTGGCGTGTGGCAGAGCCAGCGGTCCACAAGGCCCAGCTGCTGCCAGCCCTCCCCAGGCTGGGACCTGAAGGGGGTGGGCAGGTATTGGGAGACTTGGCCTGTCTCGCCTCCAAGCTGGGCCTCCAGCTGCTGGCTCAAGGGCATGGGACAGCCCCCACCTGTGAAGGTCCCGAGGACCTGGGAAGGTTGGCCCTTGGGAGGGGAGCCGGGGACAAAGCAGTCTTTGTCTGGGGCAGCCCTCCTGGGCCCAGGTGCTCACACGGGGGAGTCACGCCCCACCCCCAGCCCCTCTGCGGCTCCCTTGGCAGCAGTCCCCTGGCTCCCTTTCTGTCCCCGAGGCCCTTCTGCTACCCACCCCAGCCACCCCCGCACCCCAGCAGGGGTGCTTTCCTGGCTTTCTCCACATCTCCCCTCCCAGCCCCTCCCAGCCCCCATCCTGGCCTTCCTAGCTGCTATCAGGCAGCTCCCTCTCCTGTCCCTCCCCAGCTCTACTGGGGACCCCCCAGCCCACTTTGAAACCATCAGGCCTTCTTCATGGCCCACTTCTCGTGAGCTCTGCCCCCACCCTGAGCGACCCTGGGCCCAGCACCCCATGCCTCCAGGCCTGGGACACCTCTCTGTGCACGGGGGCTGGCTGGGCCCGGGGAGGTGATGTGTGCCTCTTGAGAAGCACCCAAACACGGAGCCCTCGTAGCGCTGCCCTGAATGGAGGCTGTGTTGTGCACATCTGTGTTGCTGGAGTCCTGTGGTGGCGTCCACATCACCGTGCTACCTTGGGGTCAGAGCCCCAAAGAGAATCTCCCCTGAGGTGTCCACAGGCCTTGTCTGCAGATGCTTCTATGCCAGTACATCCCTCTTCAGGGCCATTATTGGGAAGGCACCCCCAAACCTCTCATTCACTGGGTTCAGCCAGGCTGTGGGGTGGACGCCCTCTGAGAGGCAGGCGCCTGAGGAGAGAGGAATCTCCAGGTGCAGTGTGCAGGCTCCAGGGTGGCTTGGGCTGTTCCTCTGTGCCCCTGCTGGGTGCTTGGCCCTGAGCCACCCTTGCCACATGCAGAGAAGGGGGAGCCAGGTGACAGGGTCCCTCTGCCTGGAGCGCATTCCACACCACACACCTGGGGAGTCCTCCCTCCCTCCCTGAGACAATGACCAGGGTTGTCAGGTGACCGGGGCTCTAATCCAGACTGGCACAACGGGCTGTGTGCCCCTCACCTTCCTGAGCTCGGTTTTTCCACCTGCAGGATGGGTACAAGGCTCCACTCACCCAGGGGCACTTTCCTTCCAGGCATTACCCATTGCCACATGTCATGGGAACATCTGCTGGGGTCCCCCCACGTTCGGAAAGGCCGCGATGTCAGGATGTAAGGTGAGAGCCATGCCACGCGTGTGAAAACCCTCCACGAGTCCTGAGGGCCCCCAGGCACAGCAGGCCCTAGCCGAGGCAGCCAGCCCCAGGGTACCCCTGGGGTGCGCTGTGGCATCTACCTCTCCGCAGTGGGGGGCACCTGGCCTGCACCTCTAGGAGCCAGCTGGCAGTCCTACCTTCCTCGCAGCTCGCCCCCGAGTGGCCGGGGCAGCACCTCCACTCTCGGGCGGTCACTGTCTTGTACATCACCTTGTATGTGGGTCTCACCACGGTTCTGTAGCTGAAAGAGTGCCCAGGGGGCCCGGCTCAGACAGGGTCTTCCACCCCCTCCCACTGTCCATGGGCACAAACCCAGGGTCTCCACCTCCAGGCCTCTCTCCTACATGTAATCACCCAGCACTTCTCCCGACCAACCTCCCAGTCGGAGGGATCTGGATACCAACTGGGCAGAGAGCCTCTTAAGACAGCCCTGTAAGGTCTGTTCCCAGCAGAACTCAAGGAGAGAAGACATGAGGGTGGACAGTGGATTCCCTCCCCGGAAGCTCAAGAGTACAGGGGAGGTGCTGAGTGGGCAGAGGGTGATGTTCCCTTTGCCCACTCACCCCTGGGGTGAGCATTCCCGATGCAATCCCACCACCAGGCCCAAGCCGTGCCTCAGCCCGGAATGTCACCATTCCGCCAGTCTCCACCAGTCTCACTTACCTATTCCCTGGGCAGCTCATGGGCCAGGGGCAGGTCTGCAGCACTCGCTGAAGGTAGGTACCATTCTGCACGTGGCATGAGATCGTGCGGGTCACTATGTATGAGCACCAGTTTCTGAAACAGATAACCGAGCGTATGCTTGGGGGTCACGCCCAGACCCCTGTCAAGGCCTCGAGAGCATGGGTGGAGATCCGTGTTATCTCCAGGAACCCCCGGGTCTTCTGCCAGAGACTCCAGAGCTCTCAGGGCTCTGTGAGCCCTGACAGGAATTTCTGAGCTGCCTGTGCTGGTCTGGGGGTGGGGGCATGCGGGTGATCTTGGATGGGCCCCGGGGGCAAGATGGGAACAGGTGTCTTCCCTGAGGTTCCCCCTCCTCCTGTCTCTTATCTCTGTCCTGACTCATCCAGGTCACCAGTGGCCCCTGCCTGTCCCCCTCCCCCCACAGCAGCAATGGCCCCTCCATCTCGCCCCTCTGGCTTTTCCTAGAAAATCAAGTGGAAACCGAGCCCGCCCTCCCTCCCTCGCCCAGCCCCATCCTCTGGGTGTCTGGTGCCCACACCGGCACAGAGCGCTCAGCTCCAGGACTTGCTCACACTGGGCCCCGCCTGGCGCTCCCTTCCTCCTTCTCCTGGACCTGGCACCTCCTACCTTCCAAGTTCCCCTGCACTGTCACTGTCACTGCTCCCTTGTCCTTTCCTGCCTCCAGCCCAATGAGAGTAGAAGTGATGGCTCTGCCTGGGTCTGCAGCCCTCTGTACAGCTGAAGTAAGCTGCTGATTCGTGTGGCGCCTGCCCTCCTGGGCGAGGGCAGGCCCTGTCTCCGCTCATGTTCATTCTGAGTGACAGCCAGGACGCACAACTGATGCCCCCAACGCAGAGGACCCGCTGGCCCAAATGTGAACTAGTAATCATATTACACTGCATAAGTTGGGCACTCCCTGTGTGCCAAGGGCATTTACATCATCTTCCCATGGCGGCACCCGCCCTCCCCCCAAGCATACATGCTGAATGGGGGGATACTGAGGCCCAGCAAGACGAGACAACTTTCAAGTTTCAGAGCTGGTGCACGGTAGAGCTGGATTTGAACTCAGGAAGGTGAATGGGTCCTGACTCCATCCAGAGCCTCGGCTCCCACCTCCCCGTCTCCTGAGCCATGGTTGTGGCTCTGTGCAGGCCCCAGCCTGGGAACCTGCTGACCCTGGGGAGTCACAAAGGAAATTCTGGTGGGTTGGGGGACTCGGGTTAGGAAGGGTCACCTGCAATGGTACTTTTCCCAGCCTTGGCAAAAAATGCAGGGTTCATGGTCCCATGCACAGTTGAGGGCCGCTGAGCATCTGGAATGTCCCAGTCAGCATAGAGGGGTCCCTGTGTCGGTAAAATCCAGCACCTAGGCTACTTCCCACCCCACCCCAGTCTACCTAAGGAGAAAGGTCTTGTCTGGGACCAGCTGATGAACATTTTTTGGGGCCCCCAAGGTCCAACATTCAATGCTGTGTGAGACTCAGGTAAGGAGGAGGACACAGCCTTGCCAAAGGCCCGGAGACGGGGAAGCAGGGCGAAGGACGCCTCCGTTTGGTGCAGGAACTCAGCGGAGCCCTTGGCCAGGTGTCCCAGAGCAGAGGTGACAGGTGCTTACTACAGCACCATCAGGAGCCACACAGTGGCCAGGGCGTGTGAGCACAGGTGTGTGTGGGCCCGGCAGCTGCACGATTGCCCGCTCTGTGCGCTGGGTGTGCAGGCATTTGCACGCATGTGCCGGTGTGCATGTCTGTCCATTGGCACCGAGTCTGAATTCCGGGCCGGGGAACTCCCTCCTTTAGGGAGGAGGGAGTTCTGACTGTCCTTTGCTCGGGCTGCCCCCTTCTTCCTCTCTCCCTCCTTCTTCCATTCATAGTTCTGGGGCCTGGCCTGGAGGAAGACCCAGGGTCCCGGCCCGACTGCAGCCCTCTTGCCCTCCTGTCACTCTCCAGGGCAGCAGAGCAGCTCTTTGTAAAGTACAGACTGAATGAATATTCCCACAACCCAAATCTTTGCGTACAATATTCCCTCTGCATGGAAAGCCCTCTCCCCACACCCTCCAGAATCCTCTTCATCCTTTGGGTCTCAGGCTTGAGGCCCCCAGCCGGCAGGGCACTCCCAGGAGATGCCTCAGACACTCTCGACCGCACCTCTTAGCTTACTCTCAGGTAAACTGGGGGAGGGCAATGGCAGGGAACAGTATAGGGCTCAGCCCTAGGGCACTCAGTCATTCAGGTTTGCTGAATGACTGAATGACCAAGACCTACAGAGGGCCCAGGGCCAAGGAGGCAGTACTAGAGTTTACTGAGGTGGGCGGGGATAATAGCCTTCCTCCTCTAACCTGCTGCCCAGGGGACTTCCTTTCCAGTGTCCTGATTGGTGATAAGCTGCTGCAGGCCCACCTCCTCTGGGATGGCCATAGCAGGGGCTGGGAGGAGGGAGCACATCTCTTCTCTGCCCATTTAGCACCTCCTGGGCCCTCAGCTGCAGGGAGGAGAGGAAACAGGCTAGACCAGCTTAGCTTGGCATCAGTCTCCCCTATGTGGGGCCCCCCACCTGCCCTCTACCTCCTGTCACGAGGGGCCCAGAGGACTTTGTCTCTGGCAGGGCTGCGATCTGGAACAGTGATAAGGGCTAATTGTAGAAGGCAACCAAGGAGGCCAGGGGAGCCAAAGGCTGCATTGAAAAGGAAAGAAAGGAGATGTACAGGGTGGGGGTGGGGTGACTAGAGCCGGAGCCCCATGCCGAGGTGATGTTTCTGACCTGGGGCTCCAGCTCCCTAATTCTGTGACCTTACACAAGGCCCTGATCCTCAGTGGGCCTCACTCTGTCCGTCTACAAATGGGGACAGAGGATCTCCTGAGCAGGAGAGGCTTCTCCCGGAGCACACAGCACAGTGCTAGCCGGTAGTCTTGTTCTTGGACTGTGGCCCCTGTGACCCTGAGCTTGGGAGCACCATCACTATGCCTTCCACACACGGTCTTGACTAGGGGGCCCGTTGGAAGGAAAATAGGTTCCAAGATAAGTCATCTGTCCAGATCACCCATGTGGGCAAAGAGCTGGGACTTGAGCTCTGCAGAGAGGGCTGGGGAAGATGCCATCCATTTAAGAATGCTCCACTCTCCCTGACCCTAGGAAGTGTCCAAAGGATGCCAGAACTCCAGGAGGAAGAAGGCTGGGCCAGGACACTGGTGGTGGCTTGAACTCTAGAGTCACAGAGGGGTCGTTGAAAGAAATAGGATGCGGGCTGGAAGGGACCTCAGGGGGCAGGAAGCTGCCCCAGCAGGGACTTGGGAGGCAGATAGGAGCAGGGGCAAGCCAAGGCAGCTCGGCACAGCCCCTGGGCACCCAGTTTCCGGGGGTCTCGAAGTCTTGCCACATTCCTGGGGCTGGGGGTGGCTCCTTGGATGCCTTCCCAGGCCTCCCCCTCCCCAGGCACAAAGCCTCTTTTCTGCATCTGTCCCTTGGCTGCCAAAGGGTGCCTGGGGCTCCAGGCTGGAGGTGGAGGGAGGGCTGATGGGGCAGGACAACCCCATGCTGTATCCAGCGATGCTGGGATGGGGCCACAGGGAGGGTCTGGCAGCAAAGTCCACAGACTCCTGGTGATGTCGGTAATCCAATGTTGGTAATCGCAGCAATGACCATGTGAGGGTCATGCACCAGTCTTTCCCATGGGGACTGTTCATCCTCACAACAGGCTTGTGAGCAAGCAGGGGGAAAGGAGAGGAAAGAGGGAAAAAGCAAGGAAATGCTTTTTCCAGGGATGTGAGGTGATCTGCCTGAGGGTCACCCACAGAGTGGGTGACAGAGTCAAGAATAAAACCTTGTTCTAAGGCCAGAACCCCTCATTCCTAGCCATGACCTGCAAACCTTTCCCTGTCCTTCGAGCTGACAACCTCCTCCAGGAAGAATACTGGAAAAAGACACTGGAGTGGGAAACTGGCTGGCCAGACTGAGGTTCCACTTTGCCTCTCTAGGCCTCAGTCCTATTTGTAAAACAGGAACAAAAGTGTTGTCCACAGGGCAGGTGTGATGCTCAGAGCTGTGAGGCTTCTAGAAACAGATGGGGTGCCAGCCCCCAGGGACCCAGGTCATTGTCCTGTTCCCACTGGGAAGCCCCAGGGGTGAGGAAGGCCCCCCAGTGCTGGGGGGCTGGAGGGCGGTCTGGGCCTTAAGTCTTCTCTGATCTGGAGTCTGGCACAGGGAATTCCAAGTTCAGAGACTTGGTCATCTTAGGATCTGGGACCCTCGGGGCTAACCTCCTGGACAGGTCATCTTCCCTCATCGAGCCTCAGTTTCCTCCTCTGTGAAACAAAGACCACAAAAACGCATGAATTTTTGGCAGTCAGGAAGAGTCTGGAGGTGACAGAGACAGGTAACATGCCCAGCCCAGAACAGCTGGCCAGCAGTGACATGAAAGCTGTGACATCCCACCGTCCAGCCCTGTCTCAGCTGCTCTTTTGGCATCTGATGACTCCCTCCAGCCTTGCCTATGTCACCTGCTCTTGCTGGTTTTGGGGGGGGAGGGGTATGTGTGTGTGTGTGGGGGGGGAGGCAGCCTCTGACCCTACTGGGAAGAGGCATTTCTGAAAAGAAGTAAAGAAATGAGGCCGTAGGGGGTGGGGGCTGGCAGGCCTTTGATTGGGATGAAAAGGCCCTGAAAGGCGGCTACTCTGCATTGTGTGCTTCAGACAACTGGGCTGGCCAGAGAGAGGGGACAGCCAGGGGTGGGGGCACTTTCAAACACCTCATCAAGACCAGAGAGATTAGAATCCCAGCTCTTCTATTAATAGTCTGTGAGCCTAGAAGCTTCTATTGACGTCCATGCGCCGTTAATTCCCAGACCTCGGTTTACCCATCTGCTAAATGGGGGCAGTGCTCCCTACTTCCTCAGTCCTTGAAGTGTTCCCCACCACAGTGTATATAAAGGGTCGCCTCTCTAGTGGGGTAGACACTCCATCAACACTAGCAAAGTCTGTGTTCTCAGCGCCTGGAGGAGCAGCAGGAAGTCAGAGCTCTCCCTCCTCTCTCTGTCCAAAATGCCAGGTCCCTGGGGGCCAACACTGACCCACAGACTCTGAAACCCCACCCCAGTCTTCTTCCTCCGAGGGAAATAAATAGCTGGGTACTAAAAAGAAAAAAAAAGCAGAGCCAAGAGCAGGGAAAAGGGGAGGGGGACCTCCCCCCCCCCCAAGACTCAGCTGGGGGTGTCCTGGATCTTTTCAGAGAGGGGCGCTTTGGGCTCTGGGGAAACTTCGTTTTGCCCCCTCCCCTTCTTTGGGGCTCTAGGAGTGTAGTGGTGGGCGTTTTGCAGAGGCTATGGGGGGCTGCTGGTTCTGGACCAGCAGGAGGGGACCCCTGCATTGCCAGGAGCCTCTGCCAGATAGCGGGGCAGCGCTAGGTCCTGCTGGCACTGTGGCGGGGGACAGGGCTCTTTTCCTAACCCTGGCCTTGCGCAGAGACTGGGGGGGAGGCGGGGTGCTTGGAGTCTCGGTCCCCAACCCCGGCTGGCCCGGCAAGGAGGTGGTAGCGGGAAGCAGTCCTTACCTGCGTCCAGAGAACTGGGCTCCACCGACGCTCCACGCGGCGCTGCCTCCCGGGAGCAGGAGCCC